TCGTCTCGCTCTCTCTGTCTCCCGCCCGCGATCGACCGCTGTGCGCGACCCCCCCGTGCCAGATGCTCCCACATTCCGCGAGGTCTCGGGCGACTTCATTGCCGCTCGTTCGGCGATCTTGCTGATTTTGGAATTCGATCGGGAGAACGATTCGTCCCGGCCCTTTATGGAATCACCGGTATATCGAACGTTTCCCCCTTCACTCTTCTCATTTTTAGAAAACGAGATCGTCTCATTTGTGTGTTTCGTGCCGTACGGCACGTTTCGTCGAGTATGAGCGTCTGACGCTTCCAAAGTAAATCCAGTTTCGGCATCGCGTTCGGACACGCAATACACGACGTCTCGTTATGTCAAAGAGCATAAAAATATGTTTCGGTGAAAAGAAAGGAATTAAAAAAAGACGCGCTCCAGAGGGTCGCAAATAATTGTAAACGGTCGCGAACACGTACCGAGCCATTTTCACGTTGGCCCGGTCGTCCCGCCGCGGCGCTCATTGTACCGTCCGTGGATCGTTGCTGCAAGTGTATCGGAAATGCCGCCCGCTACCGTTTCACCGGCGTGGACCTTAACATTTACCGTTGTCCAGGTCAATGCCCACGCAGCGTGTCGTGGAAACTCACGACATTTCCGGTGCGACCGAGACCGTCAGCTTTGTTTCCGACTGTCTTTCCTCTTCTTCCTCCTTGCACGAAATCTTACGTTCCCGCTCTCTGTCGTTCTTCACGCGCGAATAGTCTGCCGTTCGTTGTCGACGTATCTTCTCAAAGCCGAGTCCAAAAACGGGGCATCGGTCATACTTCGTGTGGGATTTTCTTCGTATCTCGCGTTTAATAAACGGGTTCGGGGAGATGGAAGGAGGTACTCTGTATTCATGGTGCACGCAATTTTTCCTGTCTCGTTTTCCACGTGAACAGAGAAAGGGTAGATTCTCGCTAAACAGCAACGACGCTTTCGAGGAGAGTTTCAGAAAAAATGAGCTCTTAATATTCATGAGGTCACCTACGACGTTCTCCTTTAATTTACCATTTCATTTCGTGTATAAGATAAAGACATGGAAGGTGTAACGTCTCGAGATTTTACCCTCCTTAAACTCGAATGTTTATCGTTATCCAGGTAAACCCGTGAAAAATATTATGGTCGCATTTTTTACAGGTTCCTTATTTCCGCTTTCTTCCGGTCGATAAATAACGGCTCTTAAGGAGCACTGAAAAATCGTGGCAACAACGGTTTCCAGGTGCCCCGAGCGAGCAGGAGAGAGGGCGACGGTAAAATACTACGAGCCAAGCCCCGTAACTTTTGAGACGCATCCAGCTTCAGCGACGAGTGAGAAGAACGAACCCTTATTACCTGGCACAGGATCCGTTTCCTAATTTCAACGAAATTACGATCTCGGCCAGAAATGCCTACACCCATCTTTATGCAGATCGACACCTGCGCCAGGAGCAATTGCACGAACGAGACGTAGCCGCCGACGAAAGACCGCGTTTCCTTCGTTTCGCTTCACCGTTCACGACCCCAGTCCGACCATGGCCCCGGCCGACCCTTTCTCCTTGGCCCAGTTCGCCTCTGTATCTCGCCTCCTTCCACTGGTTCACTGGTTTTCGCGCCGCTGAACGTTGAGCTTCCCGCTCGGACTCGAAGAACCGTGGGAGAAGGAAGACGAGGAAAAAGAGAGGCGAAAAGGGTGGTAGAAGGCGCGCCTGAATTTATGCTTCATTCGTACACGTTAGGTATACACACTGAGGAGGAGAACGAGTCGAGCGTAAATTATGGCACTCTTGAACGCGAACACCACCCCCGGACCTCTTCTCCGTGTACTTCAACCTCGACCGAGCGAGTTCCTCGTTGCGAGAGCCCCGTAGCCCCCGCGGGGCTGTCTTTTATTTATTGTTTTAGACCACCCTTCCGACGGCGCGAGAAACTTAATTTGAAAAAAAAAAATTGACGTCTGACCCTGAAGAGAATCCCCCGCTGTTTCAAAGAATACAAAACCGGCGGAGCCGTACGAACGACTGCTCTCGATCGTTTCCATCATGTACGATTGAAATTTCGCTGTAGCGTATCGCGATACGACACGATTTGTCACGTGTCATTGCGACACGCGACGCGACGCTCGCTAATTTCTAGAAACGGAAGACCAAAGGAGAGCGATCTATCTTTTACAACGTCAACGGATAAAAGAGTAAAAGCTCGCGGCAATTTTCGCTCGCAAGACCTCTTTTACCATTTCTCTTTTCTTCCCTCTCGACTTTTGACTCTCTTAAACCCTCGTTGCGGAGTATCTATGCCGGGCTGTTGATAGACAGACGACGAACCGTGAATCGGGAACGCTCGCGAGAGTTCCTGTCCTCAGGCTCGTTTGACGTTCCAGCTTTGTATCGGATTAACACGCCTCGAGCTTCTTCACAATTTTACGCGTTTTTAGAATGAAGCTCGAGAGCCTTCTCGTACTTCGTTTCCAGATCGTCCGACCCAGTAAACAGAACCGTACGAAGAACCGGTCCATTTGCTGCGCGTTCCGTGTACTCGACTCGTTTCATTCGTAACGCGTCGCTCTTCTGTGAGTTTGAGCTCCGACAAAGACGAATACTTGGACGACTGGTTCATGTTTTTATAAAAGTATACCTAAACGATACCTCGACGACGTTAGGATCCTGGCTACCGTAATCGGTATAAAATGATCGAGCTTCCACCCCCTCGGCGCACGTCTGCTCGTCGTACCCCGACAGTACGGGAAAACGTTAATTGACTAGCTCCGTCGCCTCCGGTTTTCGAAGCGAATTAGTCGACGGCGAATCCGTTTCAGTCTCATCCTCTCAGACCGCACCTGTTTGTCCTCGCGAAACCAACCGTCTTTATGGGGGTCGCGTTCTTTTTCCGAGCTACGTCTCGTTACGGTGTTCGCAGACGGAGGAAGGGGCGCGAGCGACGAGAAAGGGGTGGATGGGTTCTCGACGAGCCATCGAGAATTCGAGTCGATCCGGGCTGGCGTCGGGGCCGACGCGTTACACGCGTCGTGGGGCTGTGCTTAATTAGCCCGCCATCGAGCCAACTATTTAATGCTGTCTTCCTCCCTGTCGGGAAACGATCCGCGCAGCGATTTTTTCAGAAATGAATTTCGATTTTTCGTTCCCGACAGGCTGATCCGGTCGTCGCGAGGCACGTTCTTCGATTATTATTCGTCTTATTCCGTGTATTTTCCTAACATTTTCCACGAAAACAAGAATCAACAATTACTGAGAAATTCTTTCCGCGTCTCGCGGGGAATAATTCATGGCAAACAGAGGAGGCAAATACGGTGATCTCGGTGTACTTTAAAAACGACGACCCTTAATCTAGTTCAGACTTCAAGGGAAAATATGGGAGATAATCATAGCCGACGGAAGAAGATATGAGAATAATCGATAATTAATTTGCGACCGTGGAATCCTTATCTGAATGTCTGGTGGAACAGAAGGTGGTAGGTAGCTCCAGTGTTACGTGTTCAATGTCGACAGGAGGGTCTGAAACGGTGTGTAATTACGTGCAACGAGCGCGAATGATAATTAACACTATAACCGGTCAGGATAACGTAACTTCGTCAAACAAATGGACTCGAGAAAGCGAACGAAATTCCGTTTTGCGATAATACAAGCTCGTACGAACTGGTGCACGTAGTAACGAGACGGAAATTAATTAGATCCTCTTCATTTCGCCGCAAGAGAAAATATTGACAGAATTTTTCCGTAAAGTAGATTTGCGAAACGGCGTGGTTTAATTAAATTTCATCCATTTACATGGTCAGAATCGCGAGATGGTGTTCAGCGAGATAAACTCGTGGAGACGAGACATGATTTTCTACAAAAATGATCCAGACGAAAAGCAGATTAACAGAGACGAAAAGGGACGGGATCGAATTCGATTTGAAATTAACAATAAATAACGCAATTCGTGAAGACGAGCAGCAGGGAGGATTAAAGAGAAGGGTGCGACTCGATATTCGAGACTTCTTTGTCGCTTTACGCATTTGTATTCGACGATCGTTCCTGTCTAATGCCCTGCTTTTGTCTCGACGGTGCCGAATGGGAAGGACGAACGATCTTCTTCGAGGAGAACGTAATGGCCAGGTCGGAACACTGTTTTCGTTGCCTTTCTTTTTCGTCCAAGCGGGAAGTTCCTTGCGAATACGAGAAGACACAATCAGATAGAGAACGAGCTCGTCGCTTTTAAATTGATCGAGTATCAGCATCGCACTCTGTTTTTCTATGCGTCAAACGTCGTTTAATCGTTTTCTCACTGTACACGGTGGAAATGCTTCTCGATCGATGAAATTCGAGAGAGTCCTCAATCGACCCGATGCGTTCACTCGTTGAAACGAAGCCGAAGCTTCCCCCGAGCGAGCGTCGAAGCCGCTACAATTAAATCCGAAGTGTCCACTCTCTTCTCGAAAGGACACGGTCCGATCTTGAGAGGACAAAAGCAGAACGATCCACCCTCCAAACGTTTGCCATGAAACGACCCTACTCCCATTATACAAGTTCGTCCATTCTTTCTTTTACCGAGACGAAGCACGTTTCTATCCTGTCGCTCTCTCTTCTTTCCCTCGTCCTTTTTCCGCGCCGCGGCAGCCAGTTACGAACCGCACCGAGCCCCGTATTTATGAGGGATTCTCCGACCGAGGAAACAGAGTACACACCGTCAATTTCCACCGATCTACCCTCTCGCGGCCCTCCTTGGCCGTCCCAATTTTTCCGCCCCATAGGTTTTAACGAGGAGCTTTCGCGGGAAATGATCGTTCTTCATCGATAGCCCCAAGTAGGCACTACTAATAGCGTTTCCATTCGGCCACCTCTTCACCTTTATTTCCTACTCTAATCGTTCGACAAATCCTCAGTAGTAATTGAAACCGTGATGAGACGTTCGTTCAATTAAGGATACACCGAAACATCGTTCGAGGGGAACCGCGTGCAGTGCTATTTTCTTCAGTCGTTGTTATTTTTCTCGTGTGTTTCATTTTCCAGGAGCCGCAGCCGCGTCCCGGGTCTACGTGGACGCGTTGTCTCGATTAGCACGCCAGGCACAACTGGGTACATGGGGCGGTTCCAAGGACGTCGGTAAGTTTTGCAATCTTCTTATCGTCACTGTACCGAAAACTTGTTACCCAACTGGAAACTTCGTATTTTCGGGAACCGGCATCGACCGCGTTCGTAACAAACAGAATTCGTACAATACGCTTACTACGCGTATCAATCGTTATACGAAATATTCTGATCCCGGCGTAAACCCGAAAATCAGCGAGAACTTTTGGCTCGTGGTCGCGGTCGAATTTCAGTGCGTAATTACGATTGATTAATTAAAATTTGTCACGTAATTATCGGGCGTTCCTGGTCGGTTCTTAAGCGACAGACGCGCCGACGGAGGTTAATTAATTAGCGTGGCACGCGTCATTAGACAGGCAAATAAATCAGTGGATCGTGATCAACGTCCAGCCGTCGTCGACGGTAAATTTGTTTGTCTCCGCGCGTTATGCTCTTTCCCAATTCAACGTCGCAACTTTTATTTGCGATGTCTCGCCATAGCGACACCGCTTTCCCATCCGTTCTTCGTTTCGATCCCGTCTCTTAATTACCAGACTGGCCGCGATCCATGATAATTGCTTCAATTACGGTCGACACGGCGACTCGGGATGTTTGTTGTAAATTAATAGAGAGCCGGCCGGCAATTAAAATCGGGCCGGTCGCGATTGATACGCGGGCAGAGCCGCGTTTTTAATTGTTTCCCGGCATTTTCAATGGCCGACGAGTACGGTTTCGTTCCGTGTTTTAATAAGAATTTAATTTTGTTTTCGCTCGTATCGCTGATTCGTCGGCTCGATGTTGTCGATTCGAGTGTAACAACTTTCAAAACGAAAACCGCTTTCACGAACGGAGACAAAGCCTCCATTGTGAGCTCGTACATTACGTTACGTACTTCGAAACGTATTCCGTGGCGATGAATTCATACCGGTAATGCGATAACCGTACAGTGATTGATGAAACGATTCGTGGCGCGTTATCGCATTAAAATTTGCTACTCGATAAAGTGTAACAAGAAACACCCTCTAAACGGAGGTATGACGATAATTACTCGTGTAGTAACGTTTCCATCGTTCCCACGGAATTTCGATCTTTATGCTGCGATCACACAAACGCTGGATAAATTCCGTCCGACCAGCGAAGGTCCTCACAGAAACCGTGCGGTCCTTCGACACACGAGCATTCAAAAAACTTCTTTAACGTTCCAATCTGAAATCGTTTATACAGCATTGTTCTCGTTTCTCAAACATCTCAGCCGTGCTCTTTGAGTACATCGCGAAAGCGTAAACACACAGCTAGTTTTTTCTCTCGAACGAATTAACACTCGGCCGGTTGGTCGATCTCAAAGGATCGGGCAGCGAGCGCGAAACGAGCGCGCGAGGAGACCGGGCTCTATTTTTTCTCGTCTGCTTTCGACGAAGTTTGGCGCGTCGGCGGGCGCGAGGAACGCCGACCGAGAGCACTCTCGTGGCTTCCAAAGCCAATAAGGGCTCACCCCCGTTTAACCGTATCTGGTTCTTTGTCCGTTGAACGTCGGGCAACGCGAAAAGGGGATGGAAAAAGTTGCTAACAGGATCATTGCAGCGTGATAAGTGTACGTATTAAGTCCGGGTCGGCGACCTCCTCAGGAGTTTCGCATTCCCTTCGAGGAATAAGAAAATAACGACGCGAGACGACCGGAGGCAGCTCGGTCTTACGAAGCTGCCCAAGTGCGACCGAACTTTTATTTGTTTCTCTTCACCGGGGAGAAGAACCCCGTTCGAATCGAAACAAACTGCTCTTTTCTTCGTTCACCGTTTCTGTTAGCAACGCTTTCGGCGCGACCGTGCTTCGCAAATATTTGCCCGGAACGATCGAGTACAATCTTTTTTCCAACGACGACTCGTGTCCGATGTCCTTTTATCGTGACGCGATGCACAGTGATCTTTCGCCGACGTCGAACGGTGCGATGAGATGTACGACGAGCTCTCGCTTACGAAACATGCCTGTATACGGAGTCGGCTCATCTCCCTCGGTCAGTGGTCGAAGTTGACTGCGATCGGTGGTCGGATAGTACGTCCGAGCCCTGGACGTAACCCCTGTTAACTGCATACGAGATGCCCCCGGGCACCTTCCAATTTAAACTCTGTCCGGTGTGTGCTACCTCGAGATGGGGTTACCATATTATTATTTGTCGTTCCGACTGGTCACGACTGAGTAGAGAGCGGATGAATTACGGTCCACGTTTTTACAATCGGAAGGGTGTTCTTTTTCCAATTGAAGCTCGCCAGATTTTAATTGTTCCATCGGTTTTCTCCTGCTCGCTCGGAGTTATTTTACGACGAAACGGGCTCGAGAACTGCGACGAGCGTTCGAAGAAAGAAATTTATGAAACGCGGGAATTGTCGCGCTCGAAGGCCGGTCGGAGTTTCTTGCGACGGTCGATGGCCAGCGGACTGGAACATCTTATTACTCCTATTTGCTCGTTTGGCAATTTTCCAGTTTACGCCAATTTGCACTCGTTTAAAGAGATGCTTTCGACCGAACGTTCCCTCCTCTGTTTTCATTACACGCGCCTTTCCAATTTATTCTTTCATCGACTGGGCACAAAGGGGCATCTGTGAGACGTTCGTTCAGGCGAGGCGAGCCGCTCGAAACAACGAGATGGCTCGTCGCAAGCTCTGATTGATCGAACGTCAAACGTCGACCTCGTGCTAGAATCGCATTGGGAACGTTCTTAGAGCAGTCGACCTGGATCGCATCGACAGTTTCCCTGAGGGCAAAAAGGTTTCCTTCACCGGCTCTCGACGAGCCTTCTCGCATTTGCCTCGGCCGGGAATTCGACGTGCTCGAGTTTAAATCGACGGACTTTTGTCAACTGCGAAACGACACACGGTTCAACTGAGCTCCTAGAGACAAGAACTCGATCAATTTAGACTCACGATCCTTCTGTTTCCGGGTCCCCAATTCGAAACTAAATTAAACTTTTAATTGTTTGAACAGAGGCGAGAGGAAGAGAACTCTTTTATCTCGCGACTCGTACAATCGCCTCTACTATTTTAAATCGCGTTCCACACGATCCTATTTAGAAAAAAAGAAAAACGTCCAACGATCCAACAATGATACGACTACTCTTTAAAGTTCGCTCGATCGAACAAACGGAAATCTCGTTTTTAATCGTTTCTACCGACGTTGCCTACTATAACCGAATACCTTTCTGGGTATTCGGGAGGAAAGAGTTCGTGTCTCCTTGTGAGGAGGAGGACTCGGGAGTGAGGGAAATCAGAAACTTATTAAATGAAATACGAAAATATGTAAATATATTTAAAACATATATCGCGAATCAGTCTTTACAACGTTCGTAATTCGGACTAGATCGGCAAAATTATAAGAGATTAAATCACGGTACGGTGCCAGACTAACGGCGCTTTGCGTACATTAATGCACAATGTGCGTACCCGCGGTTCCTAGGCGCATGTATATATATAATGAACGACTTACAGATCGAATCTGGAAAACGTCCTTGCTACGTTTCGCACGCTGATAGAATACGCATTCGTAGTGGCCACCCTCGCACGTCTCAAATCACACACACTTTGGTATCGGATAGAATTCAGTCTAAATATCAGATTCTTAACAAATCGATTCACAATAGCTTCGCGTAACAGTCGCCTTTGTACTCGTTCCCGAACTTATTCGTATCGTAGAAGGATTCGAAGTGCCCGTCGGTTACGGGATCGATCGTCGATCCTCGGATTACGTAACCGGCGGTACCTGCGCCTGCGTAAGGTCCTCGGACCTTCCCGAACGTTCTTACGCGTGAGGGCATATGTAACCGGCACAACCGGGAAATTTCTACGGTTACACTACCTACATTGGTCACGTTCGACTAGACGACGTTCTCGAAAAGCTCTCGGGTTTAAGCGCGGCAATCGCAGTTGCCACGAGTAGCCAGACAAATTCAGATACCTATAGGGATTTTAAGCGTTTCCCGGCTTCGTTTACCGGAAGTTGCACGATAAAACGGGGACTGGAAGCCGGCGAGCTTTTACACCAAATTGCGTTACATTCTGTAATACGCAGGCCTTTCCATTTCGAGAGACACCGAGCTCGGGCTCGCAGTCAATATCGATCACTTGAATCATCAATTTCGCTGACACCGAGCCACGAACTAGGCGCATTTTAATCACGCAACAAACGAGCCAGGCCGTCGTCGCCTGGTCCAAATCACACCTACGCGAGATCGAGAAATCCTCGTGCAATCAACGTTTTCATCGATTCAAATTTCACGCACAAAAGCGTCGATGAAACGATACTTTATCAGTTGGGTATTATCGTATTTTCTCTTTGCGAATTTGACGAGCCGAGAGTCGCTCACGACGGAAATCAGCGGGACAACGAAGAACGAATATCGATCGACACGGAAAACCAGTCGACGCGATTAAGACAATTTCGCGGACAGATCAACCTCGATGGGTCACTCGACTCGAACATCGTCGGGCTCGTTCCTCATCAGCGAGATTCATCGTCCCCGCAGCAGTCGACATCCCGCTGTTTGATCTGATGATCCTTTCTAATTCTAACCGGGGAACAGGCGGTCGAACTTCCTGCTACCGGTGGTCTCTTTCAGAGATCTCGCTCGACCTCCACCGGGTGTCCCGCGACCTGCGCGTTCGGGAAATTGAGAAGTCGTGTTCTACAGATTGATCGAGGAATCATCGATCGGTCCTCGTTCCCCGCTGACCCCGTTCAACCCGGAAACGTGCTCAGTTCCTTTATCGCGTTCCTTGAGAGCTCATCCCCTACGCTTTCCTGACGTCTAAGTTGGACCGAACAGACCATGGGAAATTCAAACGAATCGCGATCGATCGGATTTCAGCGATCGACACGTGTCACGTCCGAGTGGCACGGAGTGCCCGAATTTCTGGCTCGCGTTCATCGTTTACGCGGTATATACATAATATTAAGATTTACACGTGAGTCCAGCTGCACTTTACAAATTTGCATTCGCTCGTTTGCGTTACAAATTACGCTTCCGCATTTATTCGCGATAGGAACGG